AGAATGTAGTGGAATAAATCAGTTTGTGGTTAAATTTACAGACTGTTATAAAATACTAAGAATTGTTCATATTATTGTCAACTTACTATGATGTTTGTTCCACATTTTTATTTATGTATGTGGTAAATGAAATAAAATGAAATATTCAATGAACAGCCATATATGTTTGTTATACACTCCTGATCAAATTCTTAAGACCTGTTAAAAAATTGCATGAATTTGCATTTTGCACTGTTGGATCTTTGGAAGGTTCTAAGGAGAGCTTCAAAATGCAAAAAGAAGAAATGGGAACAAGAGACCCAAAGTTGTGAGCAGGCAATTTAACCTAAAACAAATCCTAAATCCTAAAACAGAAATTAACATGTCAAAAACTGACTCAGTATCTCTATCAAATTTTAAGTCTGCCTAGGCAGGAGTACAATCTCATTATGATAGAAGAAGGATTTCAATTTGGTCTAGACAAAATCAAAATTTGAATTCTGCCCAGGCTCAGATCTGAAATCTGCCTGGATTTGAATTTGGACTGTGACATATATATTCCAATACTAAAGTGGCAGTGGATGAACATCTCTTTCCATCTCCAAAACGATTAACTGTGTCAGTCCCTCTGTTTGCTCCGTTACCTTACTGTCTCTTTATTTGAACCTCTTGTGTTTTTTTTTTCTCCTTAGACCTACAACACATGCAGCAGATATGAGTGTTAACTCATCAACCTCAAACTATCTGCTGCTCTACCTCTGCAACAACACTGAGGTTAGCATGTACATATACAATACCGTCCTTGCACTGAGAATCCTCCTCCTCCTCCCTCTCTCCACCTTCGTCCTCTACCTGGGTCACCAAAGATGGTGGCAGCAGCGTTCCTCTACAGCAGCGACCCACTCGGACATCTTCACCTACCACGTGGCTGCTATGGAGCTGATCTGGGTCTTGGGGTGTTTCTGCCTCTTTGGTGGCACATACACTAATAACTCAGTAATGATGCTAGTAGGAGCATTTACTTGTGCTCTTCCTTACTCTGGAGAGCTATTTTTTCACATCCTGACCTGTGTGGAGCGCTACCTGGCTGTTGTTCATCCCGTCACCTACATGGGGTTGAGAAATGCTCGTGGGGTCAGGATCAGAAACATCTGTATTGGATGTGTTTGGCTGCTGTGCTTTGGAATCACAGGTGTTTCTGTAAACTTTCCTACTGCCACCTACATCCCATCTTTCTGCCTTTTGGTTTTCTCCATAATAGTCATGTCTTTCTGCAGCCTGTCGGTTCTCTTTGTTCTGAATCGTCCAGGTCCAGGGGAAGGAGGCGTGGAAAAGCAGAGGGTTGACCAATCAAAGCAGAGAGCTTTCTACACCATCACAGCTATTTCAGTCACAGTGTGTTTGTGGTTTGTCGGGCTCTTTATGTCCACTGCTGTGCCCATGTCACCTCTGTTGGACCAAAATGTTGGTTGTGTGGTGGCAGTAAGTGCAGGTTTTTTTAACTTGCCCAGCATTTTGGTGTCACCTCTGCTGTATCTGCACAGGGCAGGAAAACTGTCATGTTGCTGTTAAAACAATGGGTGATGACATTTCAAGTGACTACATGGCAGATGAGAAACTCTGATGTAAGAGGGGTTGGGGGGTTACAGGTTGATGTAACTGAGAGTTTGCTAAGCTATTCTGTGTCGTTAGTTTCATGTTTTCTCAGCTGTTTAGCGAGTTGGACAGGGTGCTGTAGTTGCTTGGGTGATAGTTGGTGATTGCAAGGTTGACTGTTAAGCTTGGACAGGTAGTGTACACATTCATTGGTCTTGTGTTAACTCACACTAAATAAAGATCTGGCCTTGCTGCAGAGTCAAAACGTAAAACCTACTTGCTCACACTGTAAAGATCTGCTGATGAGTCATGTTTGTTCCTTGACAGTGAGCTGTAAATAACCTGCTCCAGATCCTGGCTGACGACTTCAGACTTCAGGCTACATTAGCTGCCAGCAGCACTGGTAGCTAAGTTGAATTGTGGGTAATGTTGGTACAAGGTGTTGCCCAGGAACAAGAAAATGTCCCTGGTTCTGGCACATCATTTATAGCCATTTTATTTTAACAATGAGTTTGACAATGTCATAAGAGAGTGTCTTTTTTAGGTGTTTGTCAGGTGGCGGGTTTTAAATTTTATTGAGTGGTTTAATTCTATAAAGCAATTGATAGATTGTTTAGTGTTTGCAGTGTGTTAGCAGGAGTTTTGGATGATTGTGCATTAATTATGAGAAGGTTGATCAGGCTTTAATGATGGTTTTTTAGATCATTTCTAGGATATCAGAGGTATTTGCTTGAGTGTATTCAGGATAGTGGTTTCAATTGGTTCAAAGTTTTATGTTTCTAAACCTAAGACTTTAAGTAGTGAGTCCCCGCAAAAATGTCCTCATACTGCTGATGTGTCCTCAGGGTTTAGATGGTCCTCATAAAGATAGCACTACCAGCACAGACATACACACACAGAGCAAACAGCTGTTTAGAAGACTGTGTTTGAATCTGATCGTGCTTCTATGTAATCTACAGATCTGACGGTGTGATCTTATAATGCTGATGTAACTGAACGACAGAATAAATAACTAAATGTCTGTTTTGGTTGTGAAGTCTCTGATGTTCATCCACGCAGCACATTCATGACGAACTGGTTCAAAGATCCGAAGCATCAAAGGAGATTCATTACGTTTGGTTGTGAAGCTTTGTGATGACACAAACGGCCCTTTTATCAATGTGTCTGGTTTTTGGTGTATCATATGTCACTACTGAATCCAACAAAGTTATATGAGTGCAGTGGTTTTATGTAGTAGTTTTGTTCTACATGGGTTGGAAGATGGCTGCTAAGGGCATTCAATCTATTTAGCTGATTGTGTTTTCCATGTCAGCTTTGTATGGTTACTCGTTAACTGATTTTTACTTTAACTTTATCCCAAGATCTTTGAAGTAATGAGTCCTAACTGTGATGGTTGATATCAGTCCCCAGAAAGACAGTTAGACAAGCAAACACACACAGAGCAAACGGGGATTTAATTGCTGTGTTCAAATCTTATGTGCGTCCATGTAATGTACAGATATAATGGTGTGATGAAGTGTAGAATTATTGTAATCGAACAACCAAATAAATGACTAAAAGTCTCTGTTTTGGTTGTGTAATCTCTGAAGTCCATCTACGCAACACATTAATGATAAATGATACGGAGAATCAGAGAAGTTTCATTAGTTTTCAATCCATCCATCCATCATCTCTACACCTTAATCCTCACTAGGGTCATGGGGGGCTGGAGTCTATCCCAGCTGACTCAGGGTGAAGGCAGGTTCACCTGGACAGGTCACCACAGCATATGCGCTGTCTAATAGGGGGAAAAAAACATGGCACAGACACGAAAGATAAGGCCAACTGAAATGTATTAGTTTGAAATTCATACTGTGGGACACGAAAAATTTGGGCAATTTGTGGACAAGAATCAATAAATTAAGTTTCATGACTAGACTGGGTTGGGAGTTTCACGTCATGCTCTGGAATATATGTTTTGTTTTGTTATTTTTTCCCCATCAAGCTGAAAGCTGGTGTTATTCGTATTTAAACTGAATTAGAAGTGCAAGTTAGTATTTTATACATGTTCCTTTGGGACAAGTTATTGACATGGACTTATTTGGGAATGATGAGCAATGCTTGTGGTTTCCATTGTGTCACAAGCCTCAACCATTTTTAACAATTCTAGCTCCCTCAATAACCTGGCACTCAACTCCTCAAAGACTAAGGAGTTGGTGCTGGACTTCAGGTGAGAGAGGGAGGACTCCCCCCCCCTCTTCTCATCCAGGGTTGCACCGTAGAGAGGGTCAATGACTTCATGTTCCTGGGAACATACATTTCTCAGGACCTTCCATTGGGCACCAACACCAATGCCCTGGTGAAAAGGGCACAGCAGCGTCTGTACTTTTTAAGGTCACTGAGAAAGATCAACCTGTCCCAGGAGCTGCTGCTGTCCTTCTACAGGTGTTCTGCAGAGAGCATCCTCACCCACAACATCTTGGTGTGGTACAGGAGGTGCTCTCAGGCTGACAAGAAGACTCTGGAGAGAGTCAGGAAGTCAGCACAGAGCATCCTGGGAGCACAGCTGTCCTCTCTGTCAGACATTTATGACACCAGATGTCTGTGCAGGGCCACAAGCATCACCTGGGATGGTTCACACCCCGGGCTCAGCCTGTTCTCACTGCTGCCCTCAGGAAGGAGGTACCGGTCCATCAAGGCCCGCACAACCAGACTCACTAACACGTTCTACCCAAGTGCAATACGGGTACTGAACTCACATTAGTCTCCATAGTCTGTACTATTTATCACATATATTTATTATTTGTACTATACTATACTATACTATATAATTATATCATAACTGCGTTTTTAGTTATTATTATACATGATACTGTATCTGTACTTTGCATATATTTATTACCTACAATAATAACTTATTTATTTATATTATTTATATTTCTCATATATCCACAGTGTTCCTACCTCAGCAGCGCAGTATATTTATTCTACCGTTTGGCTAACTGTACATACGTCCTACTGGCTCCCTTTGTAAATACATGTATATATTCTTATTTGTCTTTTATACTTTATTTTTTGTACTTCTGCACCACTGGAGTTGTCTTTTAATTTTGTTTTACCTTGTGTATCATGACAATGAAAAGCATTCGATTCTATTTATTCTAGCTTGACTTAAACCACAGTGAGTGGACATTTCATTGTTAAGATGTGATGGCTCACCCAATGAACATGATGCACATTGATTCTCTCTTTTATTAACAGATGAACGAATACATACAATATGTGAACAAATATGTAAACAAATAGACCAACCATCCTGAACAAAAAAAAGCTTTGCAAGCAGTTGTATCTACCAAATGGACAATAAAAAGGGAAAGAACAGTGTTAATATTAGCTGAATATTTTCCTTCACCAAGATATCTTTTAGCTGTCAGTATCAGCAGCTCTTATTGCATTAAAACTTAAAAAGAATTGTCATGTGTTACAACATTTTAATAGATTTTCCTTCATGTTTAACT